TCTCAGATCCTACTCCTGCCCTCTCTACCATTGACACCAATGCTAAATCTAGCCCTTCACGATCCAGGTACCACAGTCCATTACTCCATGTGCCAGTCCCAAGTCTTCGTCATGTCCCCTTCTCCTGGAAGATCACCTTGGGAATATCAAAAGAAACAATACATTTTAGTTAGAGTATGATGGCACTAATGGACAAAAGATTGACTGGAAAGGAAGGAGCATACAAAACATTAGACAAAGTTACAGATCTGTACAATCAACTGTATCCTTACCAACCACTGACTGAAATGTGCCATCAGTTGTTTGGATACTATCAGCCGATGCGAGGTGAGTATATGATGAGAACTCACTAGCATTACCTGTCACATATCGAGACGTACCGGAGTCGATTATCCATTCTGATGATCTATTGGGAGACATAGAAGCAAGAGCATGTATGTCATTAGTACCTTTGGTCGGATGAGCATAAGTAGCAGTGTTGCCTCTGGCGAAGGCCGAAGTGGATGTCTCCTCAGTCCCACTCCTCCTGTCTCCATCTCCTGCTACTTTTTGCTTCCTCCTGAGTATCGCCAGGAGCGCATGATCCTCCTTAGTAAAGACCACTTCAGCCTCTTCTTCTCCCTCTGCTACCATCAGATTCGCCCAGTTGCCTGCTCCTCTTCTACCTCGTCTACCCCCACGATCATGACCACGACCTCCGAACTATCCATGTCCACTCGAATCACCTTCTTTGGGTGACTTGGTGCAAGCATACCTTAGATGACCCACTTCACCATAGTTGTAGTATTGCCGGGTCTCTCCCTTGGATCCAGTGTTGCTAGAGGCCGCCAATGCTGACTTTACCATAGGAAGTCCACATGTCCCCGCATGTAGCCTAATGTGAGTCTCATCCTGGATCATGGCCGAGACTGCCTCCTCAAGTGTAGGAATCTTCGGCTGAGCTAGCAGCAATGCAGTCCGCTGAGCAAACTCTGATGTCAGCCCCTTGAGAAACACTATAGTCCTCTCCTGTAGAAAGGCTTCTCTCTCTCTCTCTCTCTTTACACTCCGGGTCCTTGTAGCTTGCCCGAGGTGAGAAGTGATCATAATCTAGCCATAGGCGCTCCAGCTCTGTGGCATACTTCTGTATAGTCCTCTCTCCCTGGACTGTGGCGTCGATCTCTACCTTGATCTGGAACACCCTTAGGTTATTCCCCACTCCATCATAGGTCCTCCTCAACTTCTCCCAGACGTCCTTCACATTCTTAATGTCATCCACTGTGGCGGCGATCGACTGGACCAATGAGTTGAGGAGCTAGATGTACACAAACATATGAGTAGACTTCCACTCATCTCTTCCCTCCGAATCCTCATCCGGCTCTGTCTTCTCTCCTGTCAAGTAACCCTCCAGGTTCCTCCCTGCAAGGGTGTATCTCACTCGTCGTGACCAGCTCAGGTAAGTACCCGGCCCATCAAGCTTCAGATCGATGGTCGGAAGCTCCAACTTCTTTGATGGTCTTGTCGCGCTCTCATCAGCCGACAACTTCATCAACTTCATCAAAGTTGACATCTCTGCGGGGTTTAACTTCTTGATGATCTCCTCCATCGATCAGGCTTCAGATCTAACACATGTTCACCTTTTCTTCAAACCCTTGTTGTGCGCAGTGAAAATTTTGACAACACTTCTGCTGCACAACAAGAGTAAGATCTCAACAAAATTCTCGTTTCTCAGAGGAAACAAGAATCGAAAGTGATATATCTCATCTCCGTGAGATATACACTCTTCCTCTCATCAGTTCTAGGACTGAAATATCGAGGGAATCCATGCTAAACTCTAGGTTCGACAGGGTGCACGGTCAGAGGCCGAGGTGGTAGCGGAGTTGAGGGGTTCGAAGGGTTGGCGTTCGGGTCGGGGTTGAGGGTGGAAGGTGGGGTTGGCGGCTAAGGCTCTGATACCATGAAGAGATTTGAAAAAACCCTAATTTTATTAATTAGATAACATGGGCTTATATAGGCCCTACAAACACATCTTACAAATAACCCCCTTAACTATATATATTAATATGTCAACAAATATGCACTTATTTATAAAGAACTGATGATGTACCTTGAAATAAAGATAGTATCCTGGATTGTTAAGAGCCTTTGGTGACACTTCATTGGGTGCTTGTCTCATGTACCGTACGTAAATAACACATTGCTTCTAGCACTTTATTGAAATACATACTTACAGTCTCTCTGGATCTAATAAAATGTGATCGTATGATTCTATTCTTAGTTTTATGCCCCAAGATGTTAAATGTCATAGTAAGTTGCTCCTCTATAGTAACATGCCGGGAGTTATTTAATAATTTTTTTCCTCATGATATTTACAAGTTTGATAAAAGCCCCACTACGCATTCTAATATAGGTTGCACAATTAACACTAAACCCATTGTAAATATGGTCCATGTGTATCATTCTATTTTCTTGGTCCAATATTTTTTGCTCACTAGGAGCATGACGTATCCTTCTATGTCTACATTGCATTCTCTTAATGAAAGTAATTACTATTAATAAAGCTGAAAATGCAGCCGTATAGCATGTTCTCAAAACAATCTCTTCATCATAAGAATCACCATCCATCTACAATACCCATATTAACTTATTAATTATATATTCCATAGATAATGACATATAACACACATTAACACTACACGAACACTAAGTACAACTTCATCCTAAATATATATTAGCATTTCTAACTTAACAGATTTAACAACATAATAAAATAACAAAAAATAAAGGATTCAAAAAACATGCAAATTCTATATTCAGCAAACAACCAAAATGAGCAGATATTGTTATTAAATAAACATAATTGTCATCTAAATTTAAATAAAGTTCATCCACAATCTTAATTAGCACCACTAAATTAACATATTTAATAAACTTTAGAAAAATTATAAACAACAAAATATTTAATGCAATTACCATACTCAAACATCCAAAATGAGTAGACTATATTATAGATGCTAATAAATAAATTATCATATACCATGAAATAAGCAACAATCAACTATCACATAAACCCATTAAATAAAATCAGACATTGTCATAATATATATGTATGCAAATTTTTTATTCTTGTGTCAAAAAGTGACATGCAGTTAGAGAGGTACAAAATCATACCATCAAATACACAAAAAATTATTATAATCAAGTATTAACAAGCTTTATTTTGTCAATTAGCAGCTTAAAAGAAACAATTTTACTATTCATTTCGCAGAAGGGGAGTTGCATGTCTAAGAATTTACCTTTGTTGAAGCTTTAAAGACGTACAATGCAGGAAAGTTTCGATTTTGAGAAAGATCGAGCACCCAACAATTGAATCTTTTAGACACTGCTCAACTTTAAGGGTTAAACAGGAAATAGATCTACCTCAGTCTCCATAAACAACAAAAAGATCAACCACAGAGCAAGAATAATCTAGATCAACAAAAGACCTAGCTTTATATTTTTTCCCTTCGAGCAATGGAGGCGCGGGAGAGGAGAGAAATGGATGGAGAAAGGACCGTGACTCTAACCCTATCCCCTATTTTGCAAGCTGGAAACCAAAAAAAATCCCCTTTTGTATTTTTTAACTGCTTTTAATGTGATTTCCTTCCAATTCGAAGCTACTTTTAATGTGATTTCCTCCCAATTCGGAGCTCTGGGCTCGGATATTCATTTCCGAGTAAAGATGATGTGGAATGCAATTTCAATGGATATTTTTCCGAAGGATGAGATAATGAAGCAAACAGGAGAGAACAAAGAAATGAGTCACTTTTTTTCTCAAAGTGGGCTTAGAAATATTTTTCTGGGCTTTTCTTAATGAAACTAACATGCCCTTTATAGATAACAGTTTGGACGGTTCCCAAAAAGCCACCTCACCTCTCTCAATATCTTATTCCCCTTTATTTGTCTTTAGTCCATTTCGGAGCAAAAAAATAAGAAATGATTTTTCCCAAAATTGTGACATGAGTTGATGTCTTAAGAAGTCACTATAAAAAAAAAAATCTTGAAACAAAACAATCAGAACAAATTTACGGGAAAAGCTTGTGTGTATTTTGCCAAAAATGATTTTTGGGGTGTTTTCTTAGTTTTATGACCGAACCAAATAGTCCTTTAGGAAAAGAAAAAAGAAAAAGGGGGAAAATTTTCCTCTTATATCCAGCAAAACCTCATATCATTGAATGAGAGGGTGCCATCCTCTTAGTTTCAAGGAGGGAAGAAGAGAAGGGGGGAAAAAGATAGAAATGAATATGTTCAGGATATAAGTTTGTTATCTTATGACAATTTTTTTTTAATTTTTGAGCGACCATGCAAAAAACCCCTGAATCTATAATACTTGAAACAACTATTTAAATATCTGTCCCTCAAATCAATGAAATTGCTATTAGATCTTCAATACTTAAGTTATTATGGCTAAATGACACTTAAATACCGTATTGTCACACCATCTTACACTAAAAAACCTTAAGCTATAGAAAGTAGCAGATAAATACTCCGTCATTCACTATTAGAATATGTAAACACCTTAAAAAACCCTGTTATGACAAAAATATCCCTCCATGAAAAACATGGAGGGTAGGTAAAGTGGTTAAAATGACAATAATGAGGTCAATATAATTATAAAAATATCATGTTCTAATTATATGAGGATATTCCTAGAAATATTTCCATATGTAACTAACAGAGAGTATTAATGTACCAGTTTTTTTACAATTTAGGATAATAAAATGCTATTTTTTTTATAACTTAGAGTATTAAAGTATCATTTTTAAAAAAAAAATTAGGGTATTTTAGTATAAATATGGTGAAATAATAGCGCATTTAGGTGCAATTTATCCTTAAGCTCAAAACTAGTCCCTCCAATTAAAATTAACAATTAAGAGGGAGATCTAAAAGCAATTTTCCATTGTTTAAGAGTACGTTCGAAATATGAAAGATGTAAGGGGCTATATCGCATAAAAAAACTAGAAACCAAATGAAGCTGACTGCAGGTTTCCAGAACGAATCCATCCCAGTTCTCGCCGCCGAAACGCGAGAAAGATCTCGGCCACCATGTGGAGAGGCAGAGCAACGATTAGCATCTCGACGAAGCTCCTCCCCTCTCGCGGATCAAACCCTAACCCTAACTCCATCCCAAACTCCCCATCTCCTCTCTCCTCTCTCGATGATCTACTCATCGCAAGAAGTCGAAGCCTTCTCCTCTCTTCGCGGATCCACTCCTCTTCGCACCAGCGAGTAGATCGTAGAGAGGCGGTAGAGTTTCTCCGCCGCCGAGTCGTCTCCGGCGGTGATCGGATCTCCTGCGACGAGGAAGGCCACGTGTGTCTCCGACGCGCTCCGTCACTATGGACGCTGCTATTGGGAGCTATCCAAAGCTAAACTTAGGTCAGATGATTATCCCCTTCTTTATCGTTTTCTTTAAAGTTTTCCCCTAAAATTTCTGATATCAAGTATGAACCTACCGATCTCTTTTCCATTTAATGGATCTTTATACTTCAGTTGCTCCGAAATAATAATAATTTTGGTGTTTTGGAGTTGAGGAGATTGTCTGTATGACGCCAAGTTATTAGCTTTATTGCTGGTTGATCATTAGGATGGATTGTCTCCCTGTGAGAAGTGCTGTTATCTTGTTTTCCCTTATCGATAAGCGGGTATTGTGATAGAATCATTGATCAATTGGTGCTTTTTCCGAGCAATCAAAGAACCTAACAACACCCATCGAAAAGATTAATAGAGTGTCAAAAAGCTCAATTATTTTCTTCAATGTGGAACATTTTTGTGGATCTCAGCGTGCAACACCTGGTTATTTTCAAGTCCGGTTAAAACCTCAGTGTGCAATTTGGTTTTGCCCTAGGTGATTTTATTTGTTCATAATCCACATGTTCTGGTTCTTGTGGCTTTAAGGATTGAGTACCTTATTTCCTTGGGACTAAACATTCGTGTCATTTATTTTCTTGAGACAGTGTATTTGGGTCTTTGAATAATCCTTTAAATTGTATATTTGCGAGTATGATTTCCTAAAACTCTTCATGTCAATACACTTCTTCAAGTTGCCTATGTTATTAAAGAGAGACCTCCTTCAATTAATCACAAAATTAATGGATATGTTCTGTTGGTAAAAGGTTAACAACTTAGTATAACAAGATAATTATATGCTATTAAAATTTTGTCTCTCTTCATCATAAGAACACCTCTCATTACACTTTGAATCCTCTACAAAATTAATCCTCTAAAACCATGTTTTCCAAAGTACCTGTGGTGTTGGGCATTTAGATCTTTGTGTCTTTAAATCCTTGTGTGAGCCAACTTCCAATTTGACCGCGCTAACATATCAGATAAAAGAAACACAAGAGGGGGAGAAAAAAGAGAGAAAGAGAGCTCAATTAATGATGACATTGCACTAAACAAATAAAACTTGTGAGTCAATCTGGACTTAGACTACCGTAAGAAGGAAAAAGTAGTGAAAAATATTGTATGGCTCATATACTAAGAGAGATTGTTGAGGCATCCCGGACAACATGGACACATGCATCATAATTCCTTATCAAGGTAGGAAACTAGTATGTGTCAAGCATATACTATAATATATAACAGAGTTAATGTACCTAGAGACACATGTTCACACGTCTTAAAATTCAGGCTCATATTTTTAATAATATAATAATAAATAAAGATCTTTATATATGCTGAGGGTTTGTTACCTTATCATATAATTCTTATGACTTAGAAAAAGGAGGATGATTTGATTGTTCAATTTTTTTCTTGAGTAGCTCAAATGTATTCCACACTTATATTGAAACAAATTTTAAGTTGAACATTTTTTTTTGGCAGATGCACTATGGAGATGTAGATACTCTTATTTTATTTTATTAGCACATACATCCTCGCCATTGTGACAACATTATTTTCTTGTTATTTTTTTTCATGTAAGAACTTATGACAAATGGAGTGTTTTTGACAACTGTCTAACTCTACCCATGACGAAATTCCTACGGCAGTTTAAAAACTAAGGGAAAACACATGTTCATGGGATCGAGGGGTGTGTTTGCTAATGAAATAGAACATGAGTGATAAGTAGCTACATTTCTATAGAGTATGAGATTGATCTGTTTATAACCTTTAATTTATATTAATTTTGACAAGTCAATATTTTGTTGGTCATTTCCACTAATATACCTTTTGCACATTATATATAAAAGTGAATTTATATCTCAAGCCTCTTGCTAGAATAAAGCAATGTGTGAGAGATGTAAGACGTGTCTAAGAAGCAGGGGTGCAAATAGATTGGATATAGTACTTACCTATTCATAACCTAATACATATCATGGATACAAATGTAGACATGGTTCGGGTTAAGAGATATTTATAGTCTATATGTAACGTCCCGCCCTGGAATCCCGGAGTCAGTACGCTACTAGATCTGATGGACTGGCCTCACAAACCACCACATGTCTTTTCAGCACGTTTTGTCCTCACTCACGCGCTCCCTGGAAAACTTCCCAGGGGGTCACCCATCCTAGAATTTTTCTAGGTCAAACACGCTTAACTTTGGAGTTTCTAAGAGTTGGGTTCCCGAAAAGAAGATGCATCTTGGTGGTATGAGTATTCCAATCAAATCTATCAATACCAATCACATCACCCTCTCAAGGGTTGGGGTATTACACTATACCCTCTGAAATAAAATATAATCAAATGTAGTTACATACTCAGATAGGATAAGATGAGAACATATACAGATACAAAATGGTATGAGGGACAAATAAAATTGATATATAGGTCGTGTGATAAAAATATTTAAAAAAAAATTGTCAAATCAAAGTTCATCTATATGGTCAATTTATGTAAAAAAAATGCAAGATCTCACCAAATTAATCTCAGATTGAGTAATCCAAATGTCAAAATAATTTAATTGGCTGTACTTATATTTGAATATTCAGACGTGGACCCAGATATTTTATTTATATCCGTCTTCTTAGCCTTTTTTTGCGAGAGAGATATCCTTAGCCATTTTCTACAAAAATATAAAAAGATATCTGTATCCATATACGTATTCGTATTAATATCCATATCCTATTGGATACAAATATGTAGTATCACTCTCTACACCCTACTGGATAAGGATATAAATACATTGCGGATATTATGTTCTTTTGCATCCCTGCTAGGAAGTATCCAACAATTGCTTTTGAGAAACATATTACATGATGAAGAGCATGTCTTAGAAGTGTTTCACCTATGTGTCCAAGTGAGTGTCCATGTCATATCTCTAACTCATATGTAGTAGGTCCCTTTGCCATAGTCACTAACAATCAATACTCAAAACGGCTCAAATCAAACCAAGAACACTCTTTTTCCTTACGATTATTCCTTTTTCAAGGTTTTAAATATCAGATATTGGGAAAATATCAAATGGCCAAAATTCATATCGGATCGCAGATATCGAGGAAAAATTAGGGGTATTTGGTAAATATTGAAATTCCATAATGATGTTTGCATATATGGTATAATGCACTAAATGTAATCTTAATATACTTAATGAAATCTAAACATACAAAATGTAAATAATATATATTTAGGGTCACTAGTCCACATTATACAACAAACAAACGCACAAATCAATGTTGGAATATTTCATCTGATTTTTTAGGCCAAAATATCATTTGATATAATTGGAAAATCATGACATCTCGTTCGAAAATTGTTAAACGCGATATATTATTTTGTGATAAGCCATATAAAAGGATATATTGGTCTATATATCAGCTGAGATATCAGTCATATGGGAGATATATCGCCCAAAATAGCCAAAAAGCGGTAAGGATATTTAGAGACCATGTCGGTTGTGGCAAGCCCTGTAAAAGGATATATCGGGCAATATATCAGGGATACTTAAAACAATGTACCTTTTATCATCTTTACATAGTGAATAGCCAAGTACATGTTAGAGGAGAGGGTTCAATACATTAAACTTAAAAATTTGATAGTACAATAAAAATAAGATAAAACAAATTTCTATTTGGTTGTCAAACAAAAATATAAAACGTCACTAGTCTGAGAGTGTGCCTATATGAAAAGAATTGCCCATAAAAAAGACTTAGAATCAATGAAATGGCTGCCTAGATTCTATCCAAGCTGCATGGAGCCTACCTAAGTAACTTTGCGTTGCAAAAGTTAAGGATGATGAATAGGAAATTTTATGGATGAATTTAAATTACGAAAGCTTACTACATGCTTTTTATAAAAGAGAGAATAAAACATGGAAAGAGTTAGAATAACATAAGATATATAGAATATGATATGTGAAAGCACTTTTTATTCAATACAAATACAAAATATCACATTCTTGATTAATTATTATTGAGAGAGTTCGCAATCAGATTCAACCTTGATCATATAGCAATGTAATGCATAATATGTTCGATACGCAAATTTGCTATTAATTAAGCACATTAATTTAGGACATTTCATTGCCGTAATTGTCTTCCCTAACCATATTAGTTATTAAAACTAAACTAAGATGTTGAAAACCCTTGAGATTCCATGCTTGATGCATAATTTATACACTACACTTAAGCTGCCCTAGCTATTAGAAGCTGTACAATCCTATCTTAATTGAAAGAAAAACTGCTAAAGTTAGACAACCCTACTTAATAAATTACTGCATTGAGCCCCCAAATCTTGAAACCTTTCAAACTTGTATCAGTGCCTAAGCGCAAACTTCTGCACTCTGGAGTTGCAAAACAAATAGGATTTAGCTTTTCAACTTTCTATGTTAATACATCTCATTTCTTATATTAAAAGATAACTTACTTGATCATAGTTCTATATAAGATTTTGATGGCTTGTTACACTAAAATAGTCGCTGACATCTAAATATATGCCTGAAACATGTAATACAAGAGAGAAGTATATTGGAAATGCATGACATGTGTCCAAATAATAATTCTTCAAATTGAAAAAAGATATAATTTTGAGGACACATTCTTGAGGACCCTTGACTTGTGTTAAGGGAGTACGCAATAAGTTTTGATATCTGGGGCAAATATATCACGTAGGACATAAAGGGAACTTCATGATTGAATTGTAGCTTATATAGCTCATATGTAGTGGGTCCCGACCTTACCTACAAATTGTTGGAAAGCAAAAGTGCTGAAATCTGGCCAGCGCTGAAATCTGGCCAGCAACACTGAACAATAACTCCCTTTAAAGAATGACAACCAAACCCTAGGTTATAAATATAGTTATTAAAATGAGCCCTAGGTAATAATGCTGCCTACTTATTAGATGGCACTTATTTGGGTAGTTAATAGAAGCATAAAACTTATGTTAAATTAGCAGAGTGTGCACCATCAGTAAACAAAGTTGCCACATGGAAACCCTTATAAACCACTCAATTGACTGATTGGGCTCTAGGTAAGCTATTCTGAATCATGCTCTCAGGATTGTAAGGTTGTAGGGTTTGGGGCTTTAAGTGGGGGATTGAGAGTCTTCAAATGGTTATTACAAGTTCATATATAAATAGGGGTAATAACAAAGAAAGCGTCTAAAGGTCATTATAAATTAAGAAGAGGATAGCAAGAATGTCACTATATTCAACACAACCACCAACATGCTTGATTCATCATCATTATACAATTTCTCAATTGGATTCTCACTATAAAGGCAATAGAAAACATGGCACTGTAATTCAATAACTTACTCTTAGCAGAATACTTTAGTTTAAAAATTAAGATCCTTTGTTATTCATTACTAGACTTAGTTAGCGTTGATTGAACTAAAAATCAAATATCTTGTATGAGTCCATTATTAACGTGGAAGGATGAAACACAACTGCAATTTAAACTAAATTAGATACTATATATTAGCCAATCCTCTTTAGTTGAAAGCACTTTTAAATTAGACAATCCTACATTCCTCCCAAATTAAATGATAAAGTCCTCATATCATCGAAAACTTTCAATCAAGACTACACCATTGCCCAAGTGTCAAATACCTTTGACAACATCGCTCTAATTAATTGCCCAAAATAGTACATGGACAAATGCAGCTCCAGCTTCATCCGTACTGCCCCTTGAAAAATCTATCCATATGTCATGCTCATTTTCCCCCTGATCTCTAGTTCCATCATTTGAGTGAATCTAGGTTTGCAATTTAGGGTTCAGGAAAAAGAGACCGGTACAAAGATTGTGGGATCCTTTCTTGTGTTAAATAGTCAAAGCACATAAATGAATTTGATCCCCTTACTATATCTACTGATGAATACTTCTGGGATGGGGTGGCAAGTTTGAGGAGAGTATATAGGAACAGGAAGATTCAAGGAGATTTATAAAAAAATTAGAAAGACTCTAGGAGGTTATAGATAAAAAAGACCCTAGCAAATTTAATTATTATTATTTATGATTGTTGAGTGAATAAAGGATGACTATTTTATCCTCTTAAGATCTATAGCAACCAAATCCTCTAATTCACAGTTATTGCGTCCATCACTTATAATGTGCAAAGATTGACTAAGACCTTTTCCTAACCAGCTCATCTGGTTCCCCAGAATTATAGCAGCTCCATTAAGAATGCACAAGAGCCAATTAAGGACTAGCTAATTGGCTACACTCTATGATAAGAAGAAAACTCTAAATACTTTGAACATTTAAATACCATTGCTAAACTCTAAACCATAGGTACATGGTTCGTACGAATTCAGGTACGTAATTAGAAACTTTGAAATTTTGGATTCGACAGGGGGTAGCTTGCTTCGATAAGCTAGTTCGATATAGGATACAATGTAATTTTTTAGGTACGCTTATCATTTTTCAAAGTGTATAGTAGAAAATATGAAATTAGAAAACTAATTATGCATTTCGATATTTTTTCATATAAAATACTTCAATACTTCATTTTTATAGTTTTTGAATACATAAAACTTAAAATATCAAATGCTAGACAACTTGTTAATAATTTTTTCTATTTTGCAACTTTCATCCCCTTACCATCAAGTGCATTTTCTGCTAATTACAAGTCCAAACAATTCCATTTAAGTTCTTCCAACTTACTTGAAGAGTCCTTCAAGTTATCATTATTGGGATCCATATCCCATTATTTATGTGGACCAACTTTGTAATTCTCACAAAATCATGACAGGAGGCTAATATTTAAATGGATGAAATACTAACTTATCCACCCTTTCACTATTCAATCTATTCCTTTTCACACTATGTATGTAGAAATGAGTACTCTAATTTCTCTTAGTTGAAGAGCTACTAGTAGACCGAGACAAAATCTTCTTAGCAACATCAGTTTAAGAAATAGTGATCTAGAATTAGTTATTAACTTTGGATAACTTCCACTTACCAGCAAGAATACTTTCAATAATATTATCAAACATATAAAAACAATCCAAGCGCATGTGCATGAAAACATAATTGTAAATTAACTTTGGTCCCCTCATACTTAGTAAGCAGTACGCTAATTTTGGAAAACCAATTCGTGTATCAGAGGGAATCAGTTTGTAAATGTACCGAGACTCGGTTTGCATGAACTGTTCGATAGTTAGGGGGTGTCCAGGGAATCGCGCAACTATGCTCTGAACACATTTTAAGTGAAGGAAACATCAAATTCGCATCTTGGCATGCAAAGATTGGTATCTTTGAAACTAGTAGACCCAATGGTTTTAAGGTTTTATGTTTGTAAACAAAGGGTTGTTATTTCTTTTCATATTTGCGCACCAATTATACCTCCATTCCCACCTTTTTTCCCCTCCATCTATTCCTTTGCTTTTCCATGTGGATGGTTTGAGCCAAATGATAGGTAGATGCTTTAACCTACTACTTCTTCTGTCAGCGGATCAGTACGTACATAGGTTTATTGTCTTCGTCGTCTATCTGGAGGTATAGGGGCTTCCATTTCACCAGAATGTTGAAGTTGCGCAGGGCAAAGAGTCGGTGGTGGAATGCGCTAGTCATCACTTGTTGAGTGCTCTTTACAGTCATCCATCTGGTGAGTGTATCCGTATCCATACTCTTAAAAGAATGAGGATGCAGCAGCCAGTGAGGAACTATCTATGTTTAGCGGAGGTTAGGAGTCCTGTTACGTATATTAACTCCACCTTCTGGATTACTTTACTGTTTATTCGACATTTCTTCTTAATACCACCACCATTTTCCCTTTTTCAAGGGTTCAGTGTAGTTAGGTGAACCATGCAAGTCCTTCTGTATATAATCTTCTTGTTCAAGAATTTTACATACATGTATATCTTTTATATTATTAATACATTCAAACCTTTTTGTTGCCTTCAGCATGCTTGTTGTTGCAACATCTGGAGCAGGCTTCGTTCTTGGCAGTGGCCACATTATAGATTTTGCTGGGCTTTGTTGTACTTGTGCTGGTACTATGATGGTTGCAGCATCAGCTAACTCTCTAAATCAGGTTTGTTGTCTGAATTACTTTGCAGATACACTCCATAGGCTAATGATTTGTCCAATGTTATGGTAGAATACTGAGGTTTCTATACATATGGTCCCCCTCATCCTCTCATCCGCCACCACTATAAACATCTACCTGCTAACATAAGCAAACACCCTTTCACTTGCAAATATTGATGCAAGGCACTTAATTTATTTAACCATGCTTTAACATGGTTATAAGAAGTGACATGATACACATTGGAATTGCCGATGACATGCAATAACACCAATGACAACAAAGTTCTTATTCCAGATTTTTGGGTGTGTTGTATAAATCTTGTTCTTACATTCAGTTCTGTTAAGGATTCCCTCTTCTGTAAGTTAACCACTAACATATACTTCTTGGTTGCTCTTAGACCTCTACTCCTTGATCCATTAGTTATAATTTTATCGCTTCTAATTTTGCATTTAGCAATTATTACCTACTCTTAAAAACAATCCTCCACTTTAATCATCTTCATTTCGTTCAATGAACCATATCATCCTCAATCTCATGATGTTGACGAATAACTGATCCTAAATAGTGAGTGATCACTTGTAGGTATTTCTTGACCATCACTATGTACTATATATTCATTCTTTTTTTACAATTTACTGAAATTACATTTTATATAGTTTGTCTTTCTTGTAAATCCTTCAGAGCTTCTAATCACCTATTCTATTTTAGAAAGTATTGTTTTCCTAGTCTTATTAACTAATATACTATACGATCAGTGGATTAAGAACACCATGAGACTTCATCTTGAATATGCCTAGCAAGTTCTCCCAAAGATGCAACAGCTCCTATTTATAGTTCTTAATGTTGCATGACATGTCTCAGGTGTTTGAGGTACAAAATGATGCTAAAATGAAACGCACAATGCAGAGGCCACTACCTTCAGGGCGTATCAGTGTTCCTCATGCGGCCACATGGGCGTCTACTGTTGGGATTGCTGGGACATCTTTGTTAGCTTGGCAGGTTTTATATTGTTATGTTTTACCCGTTCCTGTTTACACAATTTCTCTTTTCTGTATTCTTGTGCTGGTCCATACTATATTTGAGTTTGGGACCTAACAGCTGCAAAAACTTCTTTGACAAGGTTGTCGCAGACTAATTACTTGGCAGCAGGTCTTGCCGCATGCAATCTTGGTCTTTATGCTTTTGTATATACTCCGTTAAAACAAATACACCCAGTTAATACGTGGGTTGGAGCAATTGTTGGTGCTGTTCCTCCATTACTCGGGTATTATTCTCTTCCATGTTTTGTATATTTTTACTATGTTCAATCTGAAAGAATAATTGCTAACTGGCAATGTTTCATATTTGCTGAATCTAGAAGAATATTTAGTGATTTATGACAAAATTAAGACAGTTACAGGGGAAAGGAGAAATTTTTCATGAATAAAATGGTTAAATACTTTTACTTTTATTAGAAATATGAACTTGGCGGTAGCCTCTGTGAGAAAACCCTTCTAGCATTGCAGCTTCCTGCTAAAATCCTCCGCTCTAATCGTTCTTTTGCTAACCATTAAGGTTGTAACCTGTGCCAGTAATGTTTAAAACACTTTTCTAGTGCATATATTAACTTCTGTCTGTCTCCTGTTTCTTTTGGTCTTTGCAAGTCATGCATGTGGTTGTTGATGCAAGTTGTTTATCTTATTTGTTATAATCTTAATCTTCTGGTTTAAATTGTGTGGTTTGTGAATAAGTCAAAGGTTGAAATGGTTGGGAACTTGGTCATCATACTGCTTGGGTTTTTGTATTTCCAGTAAAAAAGGTCCCTAGAGGCTCTAGAAAGAGGGTTAAGCACATGCCTGATAGTGGATGTTGGGTGATATGTTGTTATGTGAAGTAAATAGCATCCAAGACATTTTGTGTCCTAAAATTTGTGCATTTAATGGAATAGCATAACCTAATATATAGATGTGAAGGAGATATTCATGTCACACAGTGAACAGTGATGTAAAAATGGTTCTTAAGCAGCTGCTTAAGTGTTTTGGGCCCTTAGCTGCTTTCCACTCGAAAAGCTTAGTCTAAAAGCAGATGTGACACAAAAAGCGGCCTCTAAATCCAAAAACGGCTACCAAAAGCTTTTTCTTTAATAATTTACATTAAATCATTGACTTATTGATTATTGATGTACATAGTCCACTACATGTTAGTTTGTCACATTACAATGTGTATAGTATTTTGTTAATATTGCATGATTGAATCGTATTATTACACATCATGCTTAGGATCTCTAGAAGCATCCATATGCATTTATGCAATTTTATTCCCTCCAAATTTTACTTATAATTTTTAGATTTTTCCTGATGTTTACTTATTTTTAAATCTTTTTGTCCCTATTTAAATATTGAAAAAGAAAAACAATTTTGGTTAACACTTTTTGTCTCTTAATCCCCGCTTAAATCCCTAAAGCCTAAGCGCTGCCTTGCAACAAAAATACGCACATAATAGCGTATTGCAACTTCTAAATGGTAGAAATGACCAATAATACAAAATAAAATATGTACAAGTGGTGGCGAAGAAATAAGTTTAAAACCACTGCTGTAAATAGCGATGCATAGCGCCGTTATAGTGGTTTTCATAGTGTTAGCGCTGGCTACCACTATGCTATTAGCAAAAGCAGTAGCAAATAGTGGCCAAAATTGCTATTTGCTCGTGATTGTGCGCCATAGAATAGCGCTTTTAACCGCTAAAGCCCGCTTTTATTTGGTGGATAGGTTTTATATTCTACCCGATCCATACGCAAACTTGACCTGTTTTATCATTAAAACCCTATCATCTCTCTCTCTCTCTCTCTCTCTCTCTCTCTCTCTCTCTCTCTCTCTCGCGTCTTTGATTCGCAACCACAAGAGAAAAAATCTAGCTGCCAGTTCTCTCCCTCTTTCTCTAGTGCTTCCTCCCCATCTCTGGTGCTCCCTCCACCCCTTCCATCTTCAGTGCTCCCTCCACCATCTCCAAAGCTCTCTCCACCAACCCCACCATCTTCGATACTCACTCCAACACCTTCATCTTTGGTGTACCCTTCACCATCTCTGAAGCTCTCTCCACTAGCACCATCATCTCGATAAATCATCAAATATGCATTTGTAGATTTTTTTTAAATTTTTTTATAATTTTGTTTATTTTTTAGAATATTTAAATTTGATCTCTATTTGACTATGCGCTATTTGCTGCTATAGGCGCAAATAGCCTTAACGGTACCTCACTGCTACACGACACTATCTGCTATCGATAACCTTGTTTAAAACTTAATAGAGCTAAATTTATTTATGTGTTCTATGCATTTACTTCGTAACTACAGACTATTAAACATGTACCACACCATAAGTACCTATAAAATTTTGAGAACTTTGAAGAAAACTTCTTAGAATAGTTTTGTAATTCTGCTTGCGGGTCCCACTGCTTTTACAAGTAGTAAAACCATATAATAAATGTTGACTCCAATAAGTTGCAGAATGTTAGAAGATCGATATATTGTTTTATGCTATAAATAGACGCAGGTGGAATCACTGTCTGAGTTAATCCCCCAACTTCACCTAGACGTGATCAATTGGTTGTGTAGAGTAAAATAAGTGATTGGGAAATAACAAGAAAGAAACTTACTAAAGATCGATTTTAATGAAATGATATTTGAGATACCATAATTTCTACTGGTTATTTTTGTGCAAGTAAATTGAGACAACATATGAATGTCACAGCACATTCTATTAATTGCAACGAGTTATGGTTTTACGGGTCAGAAGAATGGCTAAGATCATGATACAATGTACATGTAGTAATTAATCTAGAAAATATGATATGTACTTGTTAGTCATCTAATTCTCCTCAATCAATGTTATATTAAACGCTGAGCGTTTCTAGGCGTCAGACTTGGCGCCCAACGCTTAGTCCCCTAGGCAGGCGCCTAAGCGATTTCTGGGCGTTTTTTTATTTTTTATTTTTTTAATTGTGATAAATATATATATACCCAATCAAAGATGCATAAATACTAAAATATCAACATTGTTAACTAAATTGTTTGGTTTATCAATTATAATAGCTCTTTGTATGTTTATACTTCTCAACTCAAATTATAAGTTCATCTCAACAGTAAAAAAACTCATTCTCAACTCAAATTACTGTTAACTTATAAGTTATTGTTAAGTTTAAGTTAACAATAAACTACTCAAATTACTGTTAACTTATAAGTTATTGTTAAGTTTAAGTTAACAATAAACTCAAATTACTGTTAACTTATAGGTTAATGGAGTTTAATAAGTTATTGTTAAGTTTAAGTTAACAATAAACTCAAATTACTGTTAACTTATAGGTTAATGGAGTTTAGAGGACGTGTAGGTTACGACACATAAAATCACAATGAAGTCCTATAGGGTGCAATCCACGTAAGCAGACAATGCTCCCCTAAACGCTCGTAAAATTTAGATGGGCAGCCTAAATACCGCTTAGGCGCTAGTTAGACGGCCTAGGTACCGCATAGACCTAGGCGTACGCCTAAGCGGACTAGACGGAGGTTTTTTAAAACAGTGTCCTCAATGTTGCTATTCTTCCTTTTTGGTTAAATTGAAATTCATGGTTCTAGAGCTCACTTGTGTTTATGCAAAATTAATGGATTAGGAAGCTTTAAAAACACCATATTTCCTTGGGAAGAGATGCTTATTAGCAATCCCTTTGTCTCCCTCTTTGGAATTTTTTTCTGTGTTTTTGTAGAGCTCATGTAGGACAATAGGGTGTTTTATATTTTTCATTTTTCTTCCAGGCTGAGGTTTTTGTTTTGGTTAGGATTTTTTTTGGAGGGGGTGGGAGGTGGGGGTGGGGGTGTTGGGGACATCTAGCTTGTGCAATATCTCAATATTTATGGTCATTTATTATTAATTATTGTAACTAAAAAATAAATAAAAGAAAAATCACCTAGGCTCTAGGTTTTCTGTAAAATTTGGTTAGATTTTTGATCCAGTAGACATAATACTTGATTACGCTAAACTAAAATCTAAGGTTACAGAAAGCGCTAGGTGGTCTAGGCGTTGGACCCAACGCCTAGCGCCTAGACGGGACGTGAGTAGTTTTCCTATTTTTTATTTTTTAATTACAATAATTGATAGAAAATACCTATGTTATCGAAAGCTTTTGGGCCGGACTGGTGCCTAGGCGAATTTCTTTCTTCGTTTTAAGTGGTGGTGGAGGGGGTTTTGCTGAAGGTTGGAAGAGGTAGAGGAGGCGTTCATAGTTGGAGGCTGGAGGAGTTTGGAGGACATTGAGGCTGCAACGAGGAATATCACGATCAAGGTCTAAAAGGTGTTGTCTACGTAAGCAAACTAGGCACCGTTGCATGCTCCTGAAATCTAGGTACGCAGCCTAGGTACCGCCTAGGTGCTAAGCGCTAGGAAGGTGACCTAGGTAGCGCCAAGGCCTAGGCGCACACCTAGACGGACTAAGTGGAGGCTTTTTAAAACAATGCTAAAATCCATCATGATCATTATTACGTTGCTACTGTTGTTATTATACTTGATTACGCTAAACTAAAATCCATTATGACCATTATTACGTTGCTAGTTGCTACTGTTGTCACTGTATGCAATGCCATTCAATTTTTTTTTCTATTATATGACTTGTAGAAAATGATTTTTTTGGCTGCATGAAGCTGAATATGGTGGAATATGTTGTTTAAATGTCAATGATAAATCCTTGTCATTGTTTAATTGTTAGTAAGGAATCTTTTTGTGGAAACTTAATTATATGGTGAATTATGTTTGCAGAAGATATCCCAGTATAGATTTATATTGCTCTTCAATTTTACAATTCTTTTATCATTCTTGCTTAACAGATCAGTCATGTGAAGCAAGTTTCTTGAGGTATATGATGCCAATGAATATTTGATCACACACTCTTGAAATGTAACATCTTTTTACAAGTATGTTAATCGGGGATGGCCGTGTGGTATTACATCCAGTGGTCAATGATCTTGAAACTTAAATAACTCATTTGATTAATATTTCTGTTCTGATGTTCCTTTTCTTGGATATTAGATCTAGTGGTCACTGACCTTGAAACTTATATAACTGACTTGACTGTCTGTTCTGCTATCCCTTTTCTCTTGGCAACATGGAATGCATTAATTGACCTCATCCATTTTCCCCCAGGTGGGCAGCTGCTTGTGGTGAGGTTTCACTCAATGCAATGATCCTTCCAGCTGCTCTGTATTTTTGGCAATTACCACATTTTATGGCACTTGCCTATCTGTGTCGGAATGATTATGTTACTGGAGGGTATGTTCTTCCTTATAGTATAAGAATAACATCACCGCAAAACATGGCTTGTTCATAACTATTCACAATGACTACTTGATTCAGGTTTCGGATGTTTTCATTTTCGGATGCTTCTGGTAGGAGAACTGCTTTGGTTTCTTTCAGGAACTGCCTTTATCTGCTTCCTTTGGGATATTTGGCATATGATTGTAAGTTCTATTCTACAATTTGGTCGTCCTCCACGTTTAGTTTACTGAGGTTACTTTATTAATCTTCTATTTGTTTCTGTTGCCCTTGATATTCTGTTAGCATAGGTTTTTTTTTTTGACATCCCTCAGTCTTTGCTTTGGTTGAGATAAAAGTAAAAGAAAATGGAAACTAAGTCCACAGAAAGCAGTAATTTTATTTTGAAGGAATAAAATAAAATACGGCTATTGTGAATGGGAAAGGTTAAGAAAACTCGTAACTCCTAAGTGAATTTGTGCGTCAGTTTTGAGAGCTCAAACAAGACTCCGTGGCCTAGGCAACCTCCTCAGGATTTCTCTCTTTTTCTATCCCACCTCCATTTAGTTGGTTGGAGAAGTAAAAAAGACATCTTTTAAAATGCCTTTTTACAGTTTCTTTTTCTATATTTTCAACTAGTGAAGTAGGCCCCTCTACAAGAGCTGTGTCCAACACACCAGATAACATGCACATCCATCTGTATACGTGTAAAAATGTGTAAAACATTATTCATGAATGGTACGTATAAGATGAAGTATGTTATATGCCTGCTATGCTATATATCTTGTTCGAGCATATCTTAGTTACTTACTAGTTAGAGAAGTTATGTTGGTTATCACTGACATAAGAAAAAGAGGATTATATACATGGTTCATAGTTTTTAGAAATTAACCAGACTGGCACTTATTTCATCTCTTGCTCTACTCTTTCTTGACTGCTGATATGGATGAGATGTGTGCAGTGGGGATTACTTCTGAATGGTTCACTCTTGAATCATCACTCCTCACGCTATGCATGACAGCTGCATCTCTATCATTTGTTAATGATCGAACGACAAAGAATGCTCGAAGGATGTTTCATGCCAGTCTTCTGTATCTCCCAGTCTTCATGTCCGCGCTGCTGCTGCATCGTCTACCAAATGATAACCAAGAATCCATGACCACTAATTTGACTGGAGCTGAAGAAGGGCTTTTGATCTCTGAGACTGGAGAGGTTCTTGGTGATGAGAGTCACAGCAATAACCGAAGGGCACAAGTGAAAGGTCTGAGTCGCAGTCAAGCACGCCCACCTGTCGCATTTGCCTCTGTTGCTCCCTTCCCTTTCTTGCCAGCGCCTGTGTATGTTGCCCCAGATTCGTGAGCTGTATTTGCAATTTTAACTTATTTCCAGCCTTACATAGCTTTGTTGCTGTTTTATATATATCCTGTTTATTGCTTCTTTTACACTAGGAGAATGCCAAATCTTTTGCCAATGGCTGTTTTCTTTGAGCCTAGCATGTAGAAATAAGTCCTGAGGACAAGTGCCTGGACTAAATATGGGTGTCTACAGCACCTTTTGCCTTTTTCCCTCAATCAATTTTCTTCTTGTTTATCCAGTATATTGCAGCCCAGGGGAAGCTGACGTCTGATTTTGCATGGACTTGCCGATAATACTGCATTTTGTATCCCGAATGGTATAACAAATTTTTTGAACTCGACCTTTTATTTGAAGCCCTGAAGCGGAACACTGTTCTCTTAAATTCATAGGAAAAAAATTATGGCTGCTCTCTTGTGCCTGCGAAAATTTGTACATTATCCGTTTTGCTGGAACTGAGTTCTCGTGTGGCTTTGCTACAATAAAATGGCGTGACATAATTTTCGATCGTTTGTCCTATTCTTTTGAATGTTTGGTTTGTTGAATGAGAGCTGCATAGTGAATGGAAGCGGACTACTGACAAATTGGCTCAAGATGTGTACCGCATGGGTGATATCCGGAGGTGTTGTTAAAAGATAAACCAATGCTCCGATAAGTTTCTGATATTGAGTAGGCTGAGATAAGGGATCGCCATCATTATGTCGAAGCTTCACTCAAGTTCATTTCATCAGTGTGGAGAGAGGAGTGGTAGCAATAGAAGGATCACTGAGAGTAGCACGTTCAAGAATGTCTGCAATGTATTTCTGTTGAGAGAGAAAATAACCACAAGAGGAGGAAGCAATCTCAATACCCAAGAAGTAACGGAGGCATCCAAGATCTTTCATCTCAAATTGACTTTGAAGATGTTACTTTAAGGAAGCAATGACAAAGGAATCACTATCAGTGATTATCATGTTATCAACATAAAGTAATAGAATGGCTGTACTGGACACTGAGGACCGATAAAATAGAGCGTAGTTAGCTAAGCTTTTAATGAAACCAATAGAAAGAAGAGATTGCCGAAAGCACTCAAACCAAGCCCGGGGAGCCTGTTTGAGACTATATATAGCACGACGAAGGCGACAAATATGTCCTGGAGGAGCAGGAAAGTCAGGAGGCGGCTGCATGTACACTGTCTCAGATAGATCGCCATTAAGAAAATCATTTTTAACATCCATTTGATACAAAGGTTAATGTTTTGCAGCTACAATAACAATGAGAGTGCGAATGGATGCTATTTTTGCAACAGGAGCAAAAATCTCTTCATAGTCAATATCATACTCTTGTGAGAATCCCCGAGCTACAAGACGAGCTTTGTACCGCTCAATAGAACCGTCAGATCGAATCTTGACCTTATAAATCCATTTGCAGCTTACCAGTTTAACACCGGAAGGTAGATGAACAAGGTCCCAAGTATTAGTCCGACGAAAAGCCTCTAACTCTTCCGTCATTACTTGTTGCCATTCTGCATTCTTAACTGCCTCAGAATATGAGTTGGTTCATGTATAGAGTGAATATCAGCAAGAAAAGAGATAAACTCAGGCGAATATGTGCTAGTGACACATTGAGCATATCGAGCAAGGGGATGACGATCTCGTGGAGGATTGCGGCGAGGGGAAGGAGTCACATCGGGAGAAGCTGGCACAGATGTAGAGGGGACATCAGTAGGAGTATCTTGCTACAAAGGGGATGTAGTAGGCGGATGTCCAAGAGGTGTGGATGAATCAAGAGCATTATCGTTTGATGCCATTGGAGTGAAGGAGGGAGTCGGTTGAGTAGATGAAGGTACAGGTGCCACTGATACAGGTATAGTAGTGGAAGGTAATGAAGGGGGTTGAAGAAAGGAGAGATCTGAAGTAGTATAATAGGAAATATTCTAAAAAAGGTCACATGACGGGCAATACGAAGCCTTCGAGTGGTAGGTTCATAACAACGATACCCCTTGTGAACGGTGCTATAGCCAAGAAAGATACATCGTGCAGCGCGTGGAGATAGTTTATCTCGTTCATGAGTTGGAAGCAGGACAAAACCTACATATCCAAAAGTGCGAAGAAGAGAATAGCGAAACTAAGACTTGAAAAGTTAAAAATATGGAGAGATGTCAGCTAATACAGAAGATAGAGTAATACTGATAAGATAAACAACAGTCAAAAGTGCTTCTGCCCAAGATATCGATGTACAGATGCTGATATCAAAAGAGCTCTAGTGGTGTCGAGAATGTGGCGATGTTTTCTTTCAGCAACACCATTTTGTTCATGAGTGTGTGGACAAGATTGCTGTGAGAGAGTGCCATGTGATTTTAAAATAGATTACATTACCGAAGAGATATTCACAGGCACCATCAGAGCGAAATATCTTTATACGTTTATGAAACTGGATGTGAATCATATTTGTAAAGTCTTTATAAATATTTAAAATATCAAAACGAGCACGCATGAGATATACCCAGGTGTAGCGAGAATATTCATCAATAAAACTGACATAATATCGATAACCGGACAATGATGGTAATGGGGCAAGTCCCTAGGTATCAGAATGAATCAAATTAAACGGGGCTAAAGCAATTTTATTATTGGATGAAAATGGTAGGCCAATTTGTTTAGCTAATGGACACCCAGTATAGTTTGATAAAGTAGAGAATTTTAAATTTTCTAATACACCTGATTTAGATAAAAGTTTTAAGCGAGAACCAAATATATGACCCAAGCGACGGTGCCACGGATCGAAATTAGAGAGCTCATGACCAATGTTGGATGGAGTGGAAAGATGTAGAGACTCCAACTGATAAAGTTCATTAACTCGATGACCTGTCCCAATCTTCTGGCCAGTGTGATCCTAGAAAACACAAGATTTACATTAAATAAGATAGTGCAACTAGAATCTGCAATTTTCCCAATGGATAAAAGTTGCATAGAAAATTTGGAAATATGAAGAACAGATGATAATGTTAAACGACCAAAACTATCAGAACATGGAGTAATATCAACTAACTGAAAGACTGTAAGGGGAGTGTCATTAGCAGTATAAATACATAATGAAGAGGGAGCATGTGAACAATTTGTAAGAACAGAGTTATCAAAGGTCATATGAGTAGAAGTACCAGAATGAGCAGACAAGGCAGTAAAATCTGAGCTGGAGGCAGCTACACTATGCCCAAAATTCTTGTTATTATTAATGTAGTAATCTCTGACAATTGATCAGAAGAGAGAGGGCTAGAAGTCTGCGGCCCTTGAGGAGCAGGGGTAACATCAACCGAAGCAGCAAATGGAGGTCGAGTCTTCTCGAATGTCGGACGGTGTGGTCTCTTACGATATTTATCAATAAGATGACCCGACTTCTTACAATAACGATAATAGAGTTGTCGAGAAGAATCAAATATATTGTTAGAAGGATCCCGATAGGAAGAGAACTGCTGAGGAGTAGCTAGAATAGTATATGATGAGGGTAATGGCTGAGATGCAATAACTGGATGGGAGACATCTAAAGACGCGTCTCTTTAGATATGAACTCAACCACGGCTTCACGGAGACTGGGAAGAGGATTGCGATGAAGAATGTGTCCACATAAGCTTTCGAACTCAGAGCAAAGGCGCATGACAAAGCGATATAACAGTTGACGATCACATTGTTTTTGAAATGCTATGACAAAGTCTGGAAACGTCTTAGGAACATGTTCCTCCATCATCTGCAATTCCTCCCAATAGCCTGATAATAAGGAATAGAAATCTTGAATAGACCGATCACCCTAATGTGCATTCTGAAGAGCTTGGTGAAGTTGATACTCACGAGCAGCACCAGTCTGAACAAACATGCAACTGAGCTAGCTACTGCTCACGAGATGAAGATGCCCGACCAAGGGTGAGCCGAATATGAATAGCTACAAAACGCATAATATATGTCATGATTTGTTGATCAGTACAGATCCACTGAGAATAAGTGATGTGAGAATCATCAGTAGTGGAATCACTAGAAGTGACTTCTGATGTGGAGGATGTAGATAACGATGGCACAATAATAGTTTTGGATGAACAATGAAGAGATCCGTCAATATAACTCCATAGTGCGAAAGCTCGAAGATTATACTGCATAGTGAGAGACCATGCAGTGTAATTTTCGATATTTGTAAGTTGTACATCAAGGGGATAAACGGACAGAGCCATGACGGTAGGAGCATCACCATCAACGAGGCGTAGTCTTGTGGTAGCAGCGGTGGAGGAGGTGGCGGTTTCGGCGGTCAATGCCGTGATGGAGACGGTTACGACGGTCAACGCCATGATGACAACAGTTACGAAGGCGACGACTATAACCGTGAAGGAGGCAATACGAAGCCTCTGTAAAGAAGGCCGACGACAGAAGTAGGTAAGACCACTGGTTAGTAATGTTTTCGTGGCTAAATTTGATTTGAGGATGTAGGATTTGAATTGATTTAGGGATTGAACCTATAGCTCGATATTATGTTAAGTTGGTATTGAAGAGAACTTGCATTGATGATCAGATTTACAGGTTTATATACACACATACCAGAAAACCCATCAATCAGTAGCCTACACTAGGAGGTAGCTATCCATACATTTAAGGTGGCTGTCAATAGGGTGGCTCATGATACATATAGGGTGGCTGTCAATAGGGTGGCTCATGATACATATAGGGTGGCTGTCAATAGGGTGGCTCATGATATTATCTAACAGTTATTAGTGCTATCATTGTGAGCGCTGGTTACAACAAGTGCCGTATTTGAGGTGTTGAAGTTGGGTTTATTAACTTGCAAATGGAGTTGCAAGTTACGACCAAAAAGTTGCAAGTGGTGCCAGGAAAAATATTTACTAGCCACCGAACTTAATGTTCCAGTAATGGTTGAAGAAGTGCTATTATTAGTCAACTATATTTTAGAATGAGTGATAAACACGTAAAATATGCATTATCTTAGTGTGTTTCAAGCATGATTTACGGGTGTTTGAAGCATATTTCATGTTTAGATCAAGGATACTGCTATGTTTTGTGTTCTTATATGTAGGTATTGGCTCAAGACTAAAAGATTCGATGATCGTTGGAAGTTAAACAAGAGTTTGAAGCAACAACCAGATTTAGAATGCATGGTTCCAGAAGAAAATGGATGCACGAGTATGAAGAACTAGAATTTAGACCATGATGCAATTCGAATCCGAAAAAGCTCAAAAGACAAAAGTTGTAGGTATCTTCAAAAGCTTTCCAACGCAACTTGAATCACCTCATTCCAAGGTCGGACGAAAAAGTTATAGTCAAATTACCAAAGATTGTACAAACAAGCACAAAATAAGCAAAGACAGACTCCACCACACCCTAGTGTGGTGCGCACCACACCTGTGGTTCGGGCCTTATCTTTTTCTAGATTTTTTAAAGACCTATATATAGGTATTTTAGCTTAGGGTTTTGGGATCCTTTTGGGTGTTCTCTTAGCCGTCAATTAGCATCTATTTTAGAGTTCAAGTATTAAAGGAAGACACGAATTTCTTGTATAAGATTGGATTGCAAATCTTTATTTTAAAGATTTCAATTGAAAGACAGATTAATTCTTTCCTCTCTTTAATTAATTTCTTCTTATGATTGATTTGCATATTTATTTGATGTATTCTCTTATCCCAATCATGTGTGAGTAGATTACTTGTCTAGGATTGGAAAAGAACCCAACTTTTTGTAATTGATGATTGATTAAATAGGTTCTTGGTGAAGTTTAGATCTTTAAACTTAATTTCTTGTGAATTAATTTTGTTGATTCGCTTGATCACCGGATTAGCAATCATAGGTAATTAATTGAAGGACTACAAGGTGAAAATTAATACTGGACCTCTAGAAATTAAGCAAAGAATTCGAACTACGAAAGTAGGCTAGATTCCTTTGGGATTTGATTTGGATTAGCATAAAACTTAATGAGTATAAATTAATCTTGATTCCACGAAAGTAGGTTAATTGAGATTAATTAGGAACGATCTTTAGACCTTGAAAGAGGCTTTAGATTAATTTAGGCTAATTCACCCTCTCTAGTTTAAACCAACACCAAGAATTAAAATAATTCATCATTGAGCATCGAAGTTGTGGTGAAAACCCAATCCTGACTCTTTATTATATTGAATTTCATCCGATTGGCTGTTTATTTTATTTCTATTGTTTAATCTCAGAATTTTAATCTCGTCTATTTTACTCATCTGTTTAGCTAGTTAAAAACATAAAATTTGGTAATTAACCCCTAGTCCCTATGAGATCGACCTTGATAGCTACAACGAGTCCGTGCGCTTGCGAATTTGCCTATCAAGTTTTTGGCGCCGTTGCCGGGGACTATGGTGTTAATATTGAGTGCTTACGTTATTAAGCTAGACTAGATTTTTTTTATATTCTCTTTACTACTCACTTTCTTTTATGCAAAGGCATTAACCAGAAGTACACGACGAAGATAATCCTAAACTATCGGTGACTCTTGTAGACATAAGAAGGTATATAAGGGAGCAAAGGAACACATAACAAGCTACAATGAGTGATCAGAATTAGCTTCTTAAGGATTTTGCTGCCCCAAATGCTCAAGGAACGCACTCGAGTATTACAAGGCCCACTGTTGAAGCTAATAACTTTGAGATGAAACCATCACTGCTTTCAATGGTTTAACAGAATCAGTTTTGGAGGAGGTGCTAGTGAAGACCCAAACCTCCACCTGTCGATTTTCTTGGAGTATTGCGACGCTTTGAAGCTTAATGGAGTGACCAATGATGTTATTCGACTCAGCCTATTTCCATTCTTTTTAAAGGACGGCTAGGGCTTGGTTGTATTTATTGCCAGCTGGGTTCATCACCACTTGGGATTAGTTATCCAGGTCATTTCTTGCAAAGTATTTCCCCCTAAGTAAAACAACACAGATGAGGAACTAGATCATAAGTTTTGTGCAGAAGGAAGGAGAGTCACTCTATGAAGCTTGGGAACGCTACAAGGAATTATTGAGGATGTGCACTCACCATGGACTGTAGAAGTGGTTAATTGTTCACACCTTCTACAACGGGCTCACTTACAACACTCGAATGACTGCTGATGCTGCAGGAGGAGCTTTGATGAACAAAACAATAGATGAGGCATATACTCTCATTGAAGACATGGCTTATGCTGCAGGAGGAGCTTTGATGAACAAAACAATAGATGAGGCATATACTCTCATTGAAGACATGGCTTAGAATCACTATCAATAGGCGAACGAGCGTGCTCAAACATCAAAAGGTGGAAAATATGAAGTAGATGCTTTAGATCATATATCCTCTAAAGTTGATGCTTTGTTTAAAAAAGTTGAAAGCTTGAGTGTTAATTTTGTGGCGTCTACTTCAATTACATGTGAGATATGTGGTTATGTGGGTCATTCTGTACTTGAATGTCAATTAGGAAATCCCTTATCCCTTAATACTTATCGTAATGAACATGTTAACTATGTTAATAACTTTAATCAGAAGGGAGACCCATTCTCTAATACTTATAATCCGGGGTGGAGGAATCATCCTAATTTATCTTATAGAAACACACCTTTAAATTCCATGTCCACATCCAATTTTGCTCCTCCTGGTTTTCGTGCCCCTCAAACCAATCTCCGTTCTCAAAGGTCTAATTTGGAAAATATGATGGAAAGGTTTGTGATGACTCAATCAAAATTGAATGAAGAGTTTACGTAACAACAACAAACCATGAATGAGGTAGTAAAGTAATTAGCCTGTAAGATGGATTCCTTAGCTACACATAACAAGATGCTGGAGGCACAAATCATCCAATTGGCACAAAATGCTAGTTCTTCCTCTAGGCCTTCGGGCATGCTACGTGGACAAACCGAGACAAATCCCAGGGGTCATGTGAATACTATATCCCTTAGGAGCGGAAAACAATATGAGGGACCTAAGATGAAGGAAAATGATGGGGTAGATGGTCATCATGAAGAAAAAAATGAAAATGAAGTAGATGATGATAATGAGACCCAAATGCAAGAAGAAGAAAAAGTTGAGAAATATATATCTCCCACTCCTTACAAGCCTCATCTACCCTTTCCCCAAAGGTTAGCTAAGGCTAAGTTAGAAAAGCAGTTCGGAAAATTTTTGGAGATTTTGAAAAAGTTACACATCAATATCCCGTTCACTGAGGCTATTTCTCAAATGCCTTCTCATGCTAAGTTCTTGAAAGAGATACTATCTAATAAAAGGAAGTTGGAAGAATATGAGACTGTGGCCCTTACTGAGGAGTGTAGTGTTATCATCCAAAATAAGTTGCCTCCTAAACTTAAGGATCCAGACTCATTTTCTATTCCTTGTGTTATTAGTAATGTCTCTATTAACCGTGCTTTGTGTGATTTGGGTGCAAGCGTAAGTCTGGTGCTAATTTCTATCTGTAAGAAGCTTAACATAGGTGATTTGAAGCCAACCACGATATCACTCCAATTGGCGGATCGATCGATAAAATATCCGATAAGTATACTTGAAGATGTACTATCCAGGTCGGTAAGTTCTTTATCCCGGTTGATTTCGTTATTTTGGAAATACAAGAAGATTCTCATTTTCTAATTATATTAGGAAGACCCTTCCTTGCTACTGCAGGTGCTATAATCAATGTTAAAAATGAAAGACTCTCCCTAAATATTGGAGGGGAGACGGTAGAATTTGATTTAAGCAATGCTATGAAACTCCTTCTAACTGATAAAGTATGTTACATGGCCGACGTGATTGACAAGTGTACACATGAGCAACTTGCAAACCATTACTCAGCTAATCTGCTTGAGAAGTGTTTAGTAAGCAACGGTTCAATAAATGATGAAGACACCGAGGTAGCCGCATATGCTCAATCTTTAAAATCAATATAAACTGCTCCACTTCGAAATGCAAAGCTTGAAAGTCTGATGCCAAAAAGTTTTACTTGTGAAGAGTATAAAACACCAAATGTAGAATTAAAACCCCTCCCTTTCTCTTTAAGGTATGAATTTCTTGGCCCTAACTCTACTTATCCTGTGATTGTGAATGCATGTATGAATGAAAATAAAACTGATAAGTTGCTTAGAACACTTAGGATGCATCGCAAGGTCATAGGATACACCATGAACGACATTAAAGGAATCAACCCATCGATTTGCGTGAATAGAATTCTCTTGGAAGATGATCATAAACCCTTTATAGAGCACCAATGTAGATTAAATCCTAACATGAAGGAAGTGGTTAAAAAAGAGGTGCTTAAGTTACTAGATGCTGGGGGTAATCTATCCTATTTCTGATAGTGAATGGGTTAGCCCGGTCCATGCAGTTCCTAAAAAAGGGGGTGTGACCGTAGTCAAGAACCAGAATAATAAACTTATCCCTACTAGGACGGTTACGGGTTGGAGGATTTGTATTGATTATAGAAAGTTGAACAAGGCAACCCGAAAAGATAATTTTCCACTTCCCTTTATAGACCAGATGTTGGAAAGGTTGGACATGCATTCCTATTTTTGTTATTTGGATGGCTATTCGGGATTTTTTTCAAATCCCTATTCATCCTAGTGATCAGGAAAAGACCACTTTTACCTGTCCCTATGGGACCTTTGCTTATAGGTGCATGCCTTTCGGTCTTTGTAATGCCTCTACCACTTTTCAACAATGTATGATGGCATTTTCTCTGATTTTATAGAAGATATTATGAGCGTGTTTATGGATGACTTCTCTGTGTATAGGACTATTGTTGATGGTTGTTTATCTAACTTGTCTCGAGTTTTGCAGCGTTGCGAAGAAGTTAATTTAGTCCTAAACTGGGAGAAATGCCACTTTATAGTAAGGGATGGAATAGTTCTAGGACATAAGGTGTCCGAGCGCGGAATTGAGGTTGATCAAGCAAAAGTGGAAATCATTAAAAAGTTGCCTCCACCAACGTCGGTTAGGGGAGTAATAAGTTTCTTGGAACATGTCGATTTCTATCGGCGTTTCATCAAAGACTTTTTAAAATTTGCAAAACATTTAACTAACCTTCTTCTTAAAGATGATCCCCTTGATTTCACTGATGAATGTCTTAATGCTTTTCGTAGGTTGAAGGAAGCATTGATAACAACTTCTATTATGCAACCGCCAGACTGGAATCTCCCATTTGAAGTCATGACTGATGCAAGTGATTATGTAGTTGGTGTTGCGTTAGACCAAATGAAGAACAAGATAGTTCATGCAATTTATTATGCTAGTCACACTCTTGATGAAGCCCAAGTTAATTATGCTACCACTGAAAAGGAGTTATTAGTAGTTGTCTTCATCTTTGACAAGTTCTGGTCTTACTTAGTGGGGTCCAAAGTCATCGTTTATACTGATCACTCCGCCATCAAATATCTTTTGAGCAAGCAAGATGCCAAGCCTAGGTTGATTCGACGGATACTACTTTTACAAGAGTTTGACCTAGAGATAAAGGACAAGAAAGGGACAGAAAATTTGGTTGCAGACCATTTGTCAAGGATGAGACAAGAATCACATGATAGGGAGGAGGATGAACTACCGATCGACGACTCCTTCCCAGATGATCAGTTGTTAGCCATTGAAAGATTAGATGCAACATGGTATGCGGACTTCGTCAACTACATAGTGTGTGGAGTTTTGCATCCAGATCTGAGCTATCAACATAAAAAAGTTCTTTGCTTTCGTCAACTACATAGTGTGTGGAGTTTTGCATCCAGATCTGAGCTATCAACATAAAAAAGTTCTTTGCTGACTTGAAGTGTTATTTCTGAGATGAATTGCATCCAGATCTGAGCTATCAACATAAAAAAGTTCTTTGCTGACTTGAAGTGTTATTTCTGAGATGAACCATTTCTATACAAACGATGTGTTTATGGGATGTTTAGAAGATGTGTTCCTGAAGACGAGGTTACAAGTATTCTTCATCATTGCCATTCATCTTCTTACGGGGGACATGCAAGCACTTCAAAGACAGCTGCAAAAGTTCTACAATCAGGTTTCTATTGGTCGAGTCTTTTTTGGGAAGCAAAATAGTTTTTGACATCTTATGATAGCTATCAGAGGACCGGGAACATTTCTAAGCGACATGAGATGCCTTTACACTCCATCTTGGAAATTGAGGTCTTTGATGTGTGGGTCATAGATTTCATGTGACCGTTTCTGACATTGTGTAACAACAAGTTCATCTTAGTGGCAGTGGACTACGTCTCCAAGTGGGTAGAAACGATAACATCCCCTACCAACGATGCTAAAGTGGTTGTGAAACTATTTAAGAACGTTATTTTTCCAAGGTTTGGGGTGCCACGAACGGTAATCAGTGACGACGGTTCACATTTCATAGAAAAAAAATTCGGAACTCTCTTGAGAAAGTATGGGGTCACTCATAAGGTTGCCACACCATACCATCCTCAAACTAGTGGTCAAGTGGAGGTTTCGAATCGTGAAATTAAGAGTATCTTGGAGAAAATAGTGAATTGTTCGAGAAAGGACTGGTCTATGAAACTCCCGGATGCCTTATGGGCCTATCAAACTGCCTACAAAACACCCATAGGTATGACACCGTTCAAGTTGGTATATAACAAATCGTGTCATCTCCCAGTTGAGTTATAGCACAAGGCATATTGGACTATCAAGCTGCTCAATTTTGATATAAAAATCGCAGGTGAGAAAAGAAAGCTTCAACTTCATGAGCTAGCTATCAAGCTGCTCAATTTTGATATAAAAATCGCAGGTGAGAAAAGAAAGCTTCAACTTCATGAGCTAGATGAGCTACGATTAAATTCCTATGAGAATGCTCGCATTTATAAAGAAAGGACTAAACGATGGCACGATAAGAATATCCTTCGAAGAGAGTTTAATCAATGAGATATGGTGCTACTTTTCAACTCTCGCTTGAAGCTTTTTCCGAGCAAGCTCAAGTCTAGGTGGTCCAGACCTTTTCAAGTCTGTGAGGTCTTTCCTAGTGGAGTTGTTGAAGTTTAGAGTGAAACAACGGGATCTTTCAAGGTGAATGGGCAACGGTTGAAGCACTACATTGTAGGGGAACAAAACGAGAAAGATGTCACTTATACCCTTTCTGATCCCCCTTCGTCATAGAATTGAGCACAACAGGGCTCGAGCTCATGATCATAATGAGTGCTTCTTGGGAGACAACTCAAGTTTTCCCTCTATTATTGTTCTTTTATTTTATTTTATTTCATTTTAATTTCGTTTATTATTTTATAGGCAATTTGGAAGGCACAATTTAACTTATAATACTTTCAATCATGCAGTTGCGAAGAAGGGAAGACAAAGCATTAACTAAAAAAACTACAGAGAAATGAGTTAAACATGGAGCGGCAGACTCTACCACACCAAGTAGTGGTGTCTGCCACACCCCTGGCTCGCTGGACACCAAAAATCTCAACAATTCCATACTCTACCATACCAAGGTGTGGTGTCTGCCATACCCTTGGCTCGCTAGACACCAAAAAACTTAACAATTCCAAACTACCACACCCAGGTGTGGCATCTGTCACACCCACGGTTCAAAAAAAAGAGAGAGAAGAAATAAAAACACACCTAGACTACCCCTTTTTCTTTCATCCTCTCTGACCTAACCCATCAAAACCCGTCCCCCTCAAACCACCGCTGCCTCCCTCTCTTCTCACCGCTCAACCCACATCTTCAAGTCCTCCGACCTAACTCCATCCACCTCCAAGCCGTCGCCTCTCCTTCTTCACCACCATCTCCGCCAGGATGCAGTCTTTTCATGAGTGGCAGCTCCGCCAGGATGCTTCCCCTACACCTCCTTCTGACTAGTGAGTTAGTATGTCCCCTGCACCCTTGCACTTATTTACATCCTACTACATTGGGAACAATGTAGACCTTAAGCTTGGGGGTATGGGTTGTTTATGTATTGATTGCCTGATCATGATTGCCTGTTTTTGTTTTGTTTTTTTTTTATTTTTATTTTTCTTTGTTTGTTTCCTCTTAAAAAAAAGGGAAATGATCTCCTGATGATGACATGAATTCTTAAACTTTATAAATCATTGAACTAGATAGTTGTTCATTAGTCAGGACTAAACAACTTTTTAATCCATCTTTCAACTGATTCTCAAAGGTTTTTGATTGCAAGTTAACAATATGGGAGAACCAGACTTGAATGTTCTCTTATCTTATAAGATTTAGCATTTATGTGGCTAGCATCATAACCATTACTCTATTGAGACAAGAGGGGAATTAAATTTGGTAGGCAAATAAAGCTGATGAGACCTTGAGCCTGAAATTGGATGCATTACATGTCCAATCATGATTTTCTTTTCTTGTGTGATATTTTCAAATGGTGTAGGACACTAGAACTTGCATTGAATCTCTTCGAGGCCACATATAACTTTTGTATGCATAAAAGGTGATTGAGGCACATCTTTTTTTTTTGTTCATAGTCCACATTAGCCAAACAGTCTACCATGCGCTATTATTCCCTTTGATTAGCCCCTTTGAGCCAATGAGTCTAATTTTTGTTGATTTAACCCACATATGTAACCTTTAAACCCGATTGTATTCCTTACCCATGCCTAAGCTAGTGGAGCACAATTTCTGATATAATGGGTTATGTGAGTAATGAGGTGTAAGCTTGGGGGTGTGCAAGGAGGTGTTTGCTTCTTTTTCATTCTCATTAATTCTTTCAAAAAAAAAAGAGATGAATAAAGTGTCCTCTTTATGGTGTATGTAATTGCGGGTGTCAAAAGATTTCATTAAAAAAAAAGAGATGAATAAAGTGTCCTCTTTATGGTGTATGTAATTGCGGGTGTCAAAAGATTTCATTATGGTGTACTAAAGGGAGTAGTTGGAAGAAGTTTTTTGATAGATGATGGAGTTTGTGTGGATGTCATTGATCTTACTTTGATATCTAATCTTTTACAATTATCGCTCCATTAGTGATAGGTTTTCAACTGCTAACCCAAATATATATCCTACCCTTTTGACCCTAGCCCCGTTACAACCAAATAAAAGACCTCATGATTTTTTGCATGCATTAGTTTTCGTAGTGGCGAAGAATTGAGATGATATGAAAGCCTATGGATTGAATACATCCATTCGGAAGAATTTTGAGTGACATAATTCTATCCTTAAACACATGAGAGATTGAGAGTCCATATACCCTAAAATAAGGTCTACAAATTTAACTACTTTAAGGTCTTAATTTTACTGCTTCTGGATTGAAGCTAGTTACATGGATTACTTTTTCCTACTTTGACTTGGGAATTGGATATGATGGCTATCCTTGACTTGTGACGCTTGTGATCGTAAGTAAATTTTGAAATGTGATTTTATTGAGAGTTTTGGAAATTAATTTGTTAAGTCCCGATGAAACGTGTATGTCTTGTGATATGTTTGATATTGGTTAATAGATTGATGAGGGGGTGATCCCTACTCTATTTGGCTTTCACTCTTCTTATTTTTTATTGTTTATTTACTTGAGGACAAGCAAAAGTCTAAGCTAAAGGGAGTTGATAAACACGTAAAATATGTATTATCTTAGTGTGTTTTAAGCATGATTTACGGGTGTTTGAAGCATATTTCATGTTTAGATCAAGGATACTGCTATGGTTTGTATTCTTATATGTAGGTATTGACTCAAGACTAAAAGATTTGATGATCGTTGGAAGTTAAACAATAGTTTGAAGCAACAATCAGATTTAGAATGCATGGTTCAAGAAAAAAAATGAATGCATGAGTATGAAGAACTAGAATTTCTACCATGATGCAATTCGAATATGGAAAAGCTCAAAGCTAAAAGTTGTAGGTATCTTCAACATCTTTCCAACGCAACTTGAATCACCTCATTCCGAGATCGGGCGAAAAAGTTACAGTCAAAATACCAAAGATTGTACAAACAAGCACAAAATAAGCAAAGACAGACTCCACCACACCCTAGTGTGGTGCGCACCACACCTGTGGTTCGGGCCTTATCTTTTTCTAGATTTTTTTGGAGACCTATATATAGGTATTTTAGCTTAGGGTTTTGGGATCCTTTTGGGTGTTCTCTTTGCCGTCAATTAGCATCTATTTTAGAGTTCAAGTATTGAAGGAAGACACGAATTTATTGTATAAGATTGGATTGCAAGTATTTATTTTGAATATTTCAATTGAAAAACGGGTTAATTTTTTCCTCTCTTTAATTAATTTCTTCTTATGATTGATTTGCATATTTATTTGATGTATTCTCTTATCCCAATCATGTGTGAGTAGATTACTTGTCTAGGATTGGGAAAGAACCTAACTTTTTGATAATTGATGATTGATTAATATATGTTCTTGGTGAAAGTTTAGATCTTTAAACTTAATTTCGTGTGAATTAATTTTGTTGATTCTCTTGATCACCGGATTAGCAACCATAGGTAATTAATTGAAGGACTGAAAGGTGAAAAGTAATATCGGACCTCTAGAAATTAAGCAGGGAATTCGAACCACGAAAGTATGCTAGATTCCTTAGGGATTTGATTTGGATTAGCATAAAACTTAATGGGTTTAATTTAATCTTGATTCCACGAAAGTAGGTTAATTGAGATTAATTAGGCATGATCTTTAGATCTTGAAAGAGGCTTTAGATTAATTTAGGCTAATTCACTCTTTCTAGTTTAAACCAACACCGAGAATTAAAATAATTCATCATTGAGCATCGAAGTTGTGGTGAAAAATCAATCCTGGCTCTTCATTATATTGAATTCCTCCCAATTGGTTGTTTATTTTATTTCTATTATTTAATCTTAGAATTTTAATCTCTTCTATTTTACTCACCAGTTTAGCTAGTCGAAAGCATAAAAATTTGGCAATTAACCCCTAGTCCATGTGGGATCGATCTTGATAGCTACAACGAGTCCGTGCGTTTCCGGATTTGCCTATCAAGTCTAAATATTTTTGTTCGGTTCTTTTAAATCTTTTCAGAAATCTTAGTAGAGAAGTATAATAACCCCTAAAACGGATTTCGAATTCTTAATTAGACGTATATTTAGATTGTTAAAGGTCCAAAGCCTTTAATCAGATAAATGTTTGTAGTTTAATTTACTACTTCAATCATTTGTGTTTTTTCTAAACGTAATTTATATATACTTAAAATGTCACAATTAGATGTATCTATGTTTTAGGGAAAATAAAAATAAGGAAAACATGGGAATAACTTGATAGTCCAATTTAGAAAATGGGCTGTCAAGAGACAATAGTTTGTCAGAAGGAAAACATGGGAATAACTTGATAGTCCAATTTAGAAAATGGGCTGTCAAGAGACAATAGTTTGTCAGCACCTCTTCTAGTCACATTGGTGCAAGTCCAATTTAGAAAATGGGCTGTCAAGAGACAATAGTTTGTCAGCACCTCTTCTAGTCACATTGGTGCAAGATGGTGGAGCTAACGAATTAGTTGCTTGACAGTCCATTTCTAAATGGGTTGTCAGCCTTATACCCAGTGCCCTGTAAAAATAAACAACGGAAAAATATTAAGAATGCCACACTAAAAAAAAATAGAAATATCAACTTTATAGTCAAAAAAGTGTTTTAGAATGTTGTTCCAACTCTTATTGAAACACTCTTAAATTTGAACGGTTCTTCCAACAACTTTATTTTTGGCTTATTTTGTTATTGCAACAACCTTTGAGTGTTGCAATAACATCTAATAAAAAATAACCCTTTAAAATGTGAATGTAGTTGGGATAACATGGGGTACCAACTACACCTGATCAAACATAACCATAGACTTGTAGCTCATGTTGTTACATCTATAGTGTTGCGAAATAAGTTAACAACTTTTAACCCAAAAAAATTGATGGTTTGACCTTGGAGGGCCCATTTTAAACCCAACCCAGTGCACCTAAAGAAGATTAATTAGGGTGATACTAAATAAGCTAAATTTCACTTAAATGTCCTAAGTTTTAGCAATCTTGCACTTAAAAGTAATATCTATTTTAAAATCGAGTAAATAAATGCTCAAAAATTTTTAGCGTTACACTTTAATACTTTAAGTTCCCAATGTAAATGTAAACGTGAGAATTTATCCTAGAAAATTCTCATGCAATACCTGAATGTCTTTCAACATTTTAACTTTTTTTGTTAAATCTAGTATTAAACTTGTCAAAATCCTATTTTTAGAGTTAAAATGTCTGAAAAATAGCAACTTAGTGTCACATGAGAATTTTCGAGAGGAATTCTCACGTTTACATTGCATTGCAAACCTTAGGGTATTGAAATACAACTTTTGAAAAACCTTAGGGCATTTATTTGCTCGGTTCTAAGAGCATCTCCAACAGCTTCCCCATTTTATTGATATTTTTACTTTTAGAAAAATTTGAGCTTTTTTTGGTCCAACATATTCCCCATCTCATTCCCCAAAATAGGAATGGAGGAGAAAAAAAAAGGGAGTCTTCCCCAAATCTGGAGCATTCTTCAAATGTTTGGGGAGAGCTTTGTCATAAATGCAGCACGTTCTTCAAAACGGGATGGATGAGAAAATAAATACAAAACAAAATCCGTAATTGCAAAAAAACCATGGGGACAGTTTCAATGCATAAGAGCATCCCAAAATAGGGATGTATAATATTTTTATTATTGTAATAAATGCATGATTCTTCAAAATGGAGAAGCTGTTGGAGTTGGAGCAAAAATAATTTAAAGAATATGACTTTTGCTTTCCTATTTTAGAAAAAATTTTAGGAACACTGTTGGAGATGCTCTAAAATAGAGCCCCCCTAAATGCAAGATTACTGAAACTACAGGGCAATTTAGTGCAATTTAACCTACCGAAATGCTAAACAAATATTTTCACAAACTAAAGTAACGGTCAAATCACAAACAAGCAACCATCACCGTCATCACCTCATCTCATCCTCCTTGAACAACCACCAATAAAGAACTCCGTACGAACCACAAACTAGCAACCAATAACCGAAAGAAAATACCCTTAAAAAAAGAAAAAAAGAAAAAAAGAAAAAAGAAATGAAGGCATCGATCAAGCTTCGGGAGGACGAGCTCAAGCCCCCGCTCCTTCGCGCCAAAGTCCCCATCTCCGTCTTCAACCTCCCCTTCGCCGCCTCCATCGCCGCCGGCGACCCCTCCGACCTCTCCTTCCACATCATCACCTCCTTCTCCTCCCTCCCCTCCCTCAAGCTCTCATACCACCCTAACCCTAACCCTAACCCTAACCCCAGCCCCTTCACCCTCACCCTCAAGTCCGGCGCCGGCCGCTTCGGATCCCCCGCCAACTCCCCCCTCCACATCTCCTTCCGCCTCTCCCCGAACCCTAACCCTAGCTTCTCCATCCACTTCAAACCCCAGCTCGGCCACTTCTCCCTCTCCAGGCGGCCGATCCCCGTGGTGTTCCCTCCGGAGAGGATCGGGATCGAAGAGCTAATACGCGGCGGAGTCGGGGTGAGGGTGAGGACTTCGGTGCCGCTGGGGCCGAGGGCGGGCCTGAAGGTGAGGTGGGCGGCGAAGATACCGCCGGCGGTGACGGGATCTTCCGGGGTTTTCCGGAGATTGCCGTACCTGAGTATGGATAAGATTAGCATCGAGAGAGTGGAGGAGGACGAGGAGGAGGAGGAGGAGAGGAGAGGGGTGAAGGAGTGGAGCGAGAAGGATTTGGAGGGGATGAGAGGGATGTGCTTTTGGATGGGGAAGGAGGTGGAGGAGCTGAAGAAGGAGAGCGGCGAGATTAAGGAGAGTGTTGAGGGGTTAAAGAAGAAGTTTTTGGAGGTGAATGAGATTCACGAGGGAGAAAGAGGCAAGATTAATGCTGGCAACTTTAGAGGGAGCAATGGGAGCTTTGGTGCTGCGGGGAGACGAGCTTGATTGGTACTTGGTAACTCAAAGATCCCATCTTTTTTTTTAATTTAGACACTTCAACGTGATTTCTTTGTAGTTTCTTTTGTGTGTATAGAAGTAGAACTGTATGGGTTTTGGGTTGAGGAAGAGTGAAATTACCTTTGCAGTTAAACATGGTCTTTTTCAACATAGATGAAATGCAAAGGATAAGGTAGTGATGTATAGTATAGTAGAGTAGTAATTTATTTCTTTTCTTTTGGGATAATTGTTGTGACTTGCTATTTGCTAACAAAACGGGGAAGTGTCATCTTTCCTAATGCTGCTCTAACTATAATTTCTTTCGATTGTCAAGTTGAAAACAGTTGTTATGCCTCTGAAATATAGCTTTAATTTCTTTTGATTATCAACAACCCGATACGTGTGATTACTTGTTCTTCTATAATGGACTCTGATACAATATCAACTGATCGTCGTTTCACTAATTTTTTTTTTATAAAAGTATGTAAAGAAATGAAGATATTTCCAATTGAGTTATAAGTGGTTAGTCATCACTGCTGTGCTTGAGCAGGCCGCGTTTTCTTTTTTTCGCAGAGCATGTAAGCAAAAACTATCTCCATAATTAATGAATCAAATTGACCTAGACTAGAGTAAGGATGGGTATGAAAGAAACGCTCTAGAAAGTAGAACCGCAAGTTGGAATCAGGTGTAATGAAACTGATAAAAGTTTTGTGCAAAATTCGAGAACCTTAAGGAGTTGCAGTAATGTACCAGGAAAGGTTTTTTTTTTTTATAAATAAAATGTGCAATCTGATTGGCTGTGTTAAAAGAACCTGTGTGCAACTAAGGCACATTTTAGAAGTATGATGACACCCTTATATGGATAAAGAAACAGTATGCCATTGTAAAAGTTGATCAGAGCATTTGTGACTTGGTTTTGCTGCACTCATCTCTTTGGTGTTGAAGTAGATTCTCGGGTAAGATGGAACACCAAGGAGCATCGTAGAGTAGTTCTCCTGGTGGTAAATGAATATGTTAAACGATAAATGTTGGAACTACAATATAACTTCAGGTCGGGCCACATTGCGCCCTGCATTGCACCTTGATAATACTGGTTTGATTTTGGGAAACATTCGATTTCATAGTATATGCAGTGGCAGATATTCATGGAAGCTTGTTTAACCCATGTGTAGAATAGGAGAATCAATTAGGATTTACTAAAATTTAAGTTATAGTTTGTAGTGGCGGATTTGTTGCTCTTTTGATAGAGGAGATTTTTCGTCCATTATGGCCTTTCTCCTTCTCCTTCTTCAGGTTGTACTTATTTTTAAAAAAGTGCTATTATATTTCTCCTTCTTTGTGACAGTGTAATATTCCTTTTTCTTCATGATGTTAAGTCTAGAAACCATTAAAAAACCATCTCGGTGCATATTGAACAGGAAGGAATTTGCTAGCGTAGTAACTCTTGATACTTGGTGAAGATGAGAGCTATCATAATCATTGGACTTTCTTGTTTAGAGAAACGTACCAATCCCAATCTGATGGATGAGAGCTACTGCAAATCTGTGCAACAACATCACTATCACTATTAGTCCGCATACACATGGGCATTCTTGGGGTAGAGGGTTAAAAAGTTCTTCCCATATAATACTGCATTTTAAAAGATTATTCTCTTGCCCATAGTGCCATTGTGCAGGAATTTGGTTGATATTAGTTAGATGTTCATATAGTAATGTTAGATCCACATGTGTATATGGACATGATACAGAATGACATGACACATAGAAACACATAAAACATATACATCATATTGGAGTTTGATGTGCATTGTTTGTGTCCGCCTCATGTCCAACAGTATAATAACTTCATGTTTGAAATGTTTCTGCTACTTGGATATAGAGCCTTCTCAACTTGGTCTACTTCTGCACCCTCGATCCATTCTATTGGGAGAAAGCTTGGATAAGTTGCATATGGAAGGCAGAATGTGAGTCAAGGATCTGGGTTGCATGGTTGCTAATAACTCATGGTATAAGTTCAAAAAACCTCTCTATTGTACATAATTTTTTGGCATAATGATTGTATCTCATGCCTACGAAGACCTAATACCGCGAACTTGCATCTGGATCATTTTCTCTTCCTAAAACTCTTTTTTGTTAAGGAATATATTATGAAGATCTATCATGTTATAATTATATTAGGAATAATATATTAGGTGTACAAGTTAGAGATTTGGTGATTAAGAGATATTAGGATTTAACTAAGAGAAAAATTGTGATTAGGTAATTGTGTTTAGTCTCATATTGACTACACAATAAACTTTTTGTTCTTGCACCCTATATAAAGGGGAGTAGTTGTAGCTTCTTAAATATGAATGAGAATCTATGATATTTTATTGTTTAACATGGTATCAGAGTCACGCAAACCCTAGCCTCCATAATATCCTAAATCCTCACAAACCCTTGCCCTCAATCTCTTACCATCATTTTTCTGCCTTACAATCTTCCTTCTTTCTTGTGACCGGTTTTCGTGAACAGGGCGTGGTGACTATTCATCGTGAATAGTGCGCACGTTGACTGTTTATTGTGAATAGTGTCGTAGGTTCTTGTCCGTCTTGCTTTCGATGGCCTTGTTGATGATCGAGATTGCTATTATTAATAGCACTAGTCATCCTCGATGTATATGTTTCCGTCACCGTCTGTGTCATCTTGATTTTCTTTTGTTCATCGACTATTCAACTTGTTGACACCACCGCCACCACCGCTTGTAGTCTACAAACTTTGACCACCATTAGCTACCAAAAAAAAGATTTTGATTGACTCATAATTTGGTTTGGAGTTTGGTTCGATGAAGGTTATTTTCTCGGCTAAAAAAAAGATTTTGATTGACTCATAATTTGGTTTGGAGTTTGGTTCGATGAAGGTTATTTTCTCGGCTTCATTTGTTTTTGGTGGATCACTAAGGAGGGATCATTTGCTTGGTTGATCCGGGAAGATGATCGTTTGTTTGGTTGATCTGTGAAGAGGATTGTCTATTTGGTTGGTCCCTAGAGAGGATTATTTGTTTGGTTAGTCCGAAGAGGATCGTTTGTTTGGTTGATCCATAAAGAGGATCGTTTGTTTAGTGGATCATTGATGAGATTCGTTGTTTGGTAGTTCTTTAGTCAAACTGTGAAGAAGAGATCAAGGTATCGCATTTGGTGATTTTTTGCTTGAGATTGTTTGTGGTGGAAGACATTCAAGTAGAAGACTAGAAGATAAAGACAACTACGATGAGGAAGATTTCAGCCCTGTAAGCCGTGTCACATATTCGAGTGAGTACATCTTGTTTGTAATAAGCCAAACATGTATGATATACATGCTCTAGCTTAAGGTGGGGGGTGTTAAAGGAATATATTATGGATATCTATAATATTATAATTATATTAGGAATAATATATTAGGAGTATATATTAGAGATTTGGTGATCGAGAGATATTAGGATTGTAACTAAGAAAATAATTGTGATTAGGTAATTGTGTTTAGCCTCACATTGGCTACACAATAAATTTCTTATTATTGTATCCCTATATAAAGGGAAGTAGTTGTAGCTTTTGAAATATGAATGAGAATCTATAATATTTTATTGTTTAACATCCTTCTCAATCCAAAAGAGAACGGAAAATTTTACTGCACCTCCAAGTTATCTAAGAAAACTCGAACAAGGGTTAACAATGCTCCAGGTTATCTAAGAAAACTCGAACAACGGTTAACAATGCTATACATGCTTACTTATTAGCTGTTGGATTCTGAAAGTGTCAATTCCTGAAGTGTGCGAGTGGATAATATGCATTCCCCTGGGAAGGGCAGGGGGTGGGCATTAACTATGACAGATTTTCTGTTGCGTTTGCTTTGGCTGACTTTGTAGCAATGCGGTGGCCTGTGGGTTGATGTTAGAAATCATCAAACTGACTGTAAATTTCACTATTAACGTTCGTCTGCCGAAGTTCTCTTATTTGGTTGACAGTGGCGCAGAAAGACAGCAGTGTTGTTTGTATTGGTTTGACAAGAGCCTTTCCGTCGATCAAATCCTGGTGGCATGTTACGGAAGCATCTGATTCAGTTTCTCCACCGCATGCGTAATCAAGTTTGGAGTAGACCGAGCCCCATTTGTTTTTAATTCTAGACCTTATTCTTCTTATTTGTTCACAAAACTCAATGGAGAAACCTTGTTCGACTGTTAGTGCCTAAATTCCTACTATGACCTTGGTTCGTTACTCATCAGGAAAAGAAATGGATATGTTCGAGTTTTACAACAGAAACAAAATAATATTGTGCCAACAATTTTATTCTATTTGTTACAGAGATAAATTCAGATTCCACAATTACTTTTTCACCGCTAATTATATCAATGTTTCACTGCACAGTATGTCTTCACATCTGGTCCAAAGTTAGCCTTAAAAGGATCAGTGTAAAAGATCTTATAAAAGCAATCAGGTTTCAACCTGCGCACTGCATCGCAGCAATCTGGTTTGATATCAATGGTATTTTTCCTCGACGAAAGTAACATCGAAGGGGTGCATCCGGGCAATGATCGAAAAGATTTCCAACACTCACGATACGCTGGATCAGTAATCATCGGTGATGGGAGAATCCCTAATGGAAATCTGTATTCCGAACTCCCCGGTTGAACATTTCTCGGTCGCAGAAAAGTCCATCGTGCTTCACCTCGTTGTTGCTTCGGGAGAACGAGGAAGGATTTTGATGGAGAGATGGAGATTGACAGCAAGGCCAGGAGCAGGAAGAGGAGGATTTGCATGTTTGATGCTTTCTTCACCGTGTTTGGGTTTAAGCTAGAGGATTTATTTATATACTGAAAGAGGATTTTTGCAATTAAGGTTTTATCTTTTGGAGGTTACTATGAAGTAGGAAGAAACGTTGAAAGACGGTACTACTATTTATTGGAAAACATAAATTTTATGAAATGACTTAAATGAGGAATTGATCATGAAAATTAAAATGTAAGTTACTATTGACTCTGGCAGTAGATGTTTAATTGATCATGAAAATTAAATGAGGAATTGATCATGAAAATTAAAATGTAAGTTACTATTGACTCTGGCAGTAGATGTTTAATTGATCATGAAAATTAAATGAGGAATTGATCATGAAAATTAAAATGTAAGTTACTATTGACTCTGGCAGTAGATGTTTAATTGATCATGAAAATTAAATGAGGAATTGATCATGAAAATTAAAATGTAAGTTACTATTGACTCTGGCAGTAGATGTTTAATTGAGATAAGCAAATTACTTTCTCGGAAGAAAAAAAAGTTTAAGCAAATTACAGCACAAAGCAAATCAGACATCATTCTTTACAAAAATCGTCCGTTACTCCTCTCAGTTTTTTTTTAGCAAAAATGAAGTTTCTCAATTGAACCCAAGCACATGTGAAGGATACGTCTCTAGGCGGATGATTACAAAAGCTTAGCCCTTATTTGGACTCGAAGATTAACCCCGTTACAAGATGAATTTCTTAAATATCCACATACAAGAATTATCAAAGAGCCAAAATCGTAAATAAGAAGGTCACTGTGCCAAAGCGTTGAGCTTATAAATCTAAATAACAACAAAGTATCGTGTGCATTACACAGTACAACATCGCAATTAGAATTCACCAAATCCAATTTGTAGCCCAGCTCTCAATTCATCATCTCGCTTCCACCAACAAAGACAATTAATCTTACATGTCTTACATTAAACATAGGAAGAGCAGTGAGGAACACTTTGCAAAGCTGAACAAGGTTTCTTTGTAAGTTCTTGAGCCAGGATTATTTCATACTCTTCTGTCACTCAAGGATAGAACATCGATGAATTCTGGCTATACATGCAAAAAAGCAGCTAAGTTTCCATCCATCCGACAAAGAAGCCTCCTTCAATTCTACAACTCTTGGTTAACCTTAGCTTAGCCTGTTTGCCTGGAAAGTATTAGACAATCCAATTAGAACTTAAAAGATATGAAATTTCTAAATACATTATTTGCACAAGACATAACAAGCTTAGAAACGTCTAAATAAATTCAAGCCTAGAAACGTTTAATAATGTTCTTAGTACACAACTGGAGAAGAATTCTTAAAAGGACCAAGATGGTCCTGATGAGTACAGGTATCTATGAGCCATCTAATATTGCTCTACACTACAACAGAAATGACAGCAAATTAGGAAAAGACAAAAGTAAAGCTCTGTAAGTAAATTCAAATAAGGAATGAAGTAAAACCAGCATCCAACCCTAACCTTACCTCTATATTAAATAGTAGTTTTGATCAAGTTCCATCGGCATTTACAAGCACACTACAATTTCAACCTTGTTTCTTGTTCCAAGCATATTGGTTTTAGGGGCAGTAGGATAGTTCGCAACTACAGTTAACACTGCAGCTTTGACTTGCATACAACTGTTGCTGCTTGTAATTGCACTTGCAGTTGTTCGGTTCATCTTTAGAAATCTGCAATTACACTCAGCACTTGATTGTTCCTACTTGCTACTCATCACATGCCACTTGTTTTTAGTTTCATCAAGAAAATGACAGAGATACAGATGTGTAAGTTTGATGCTTACTCTGTAGACGAGGATCATGATGAAACTCCATACGGGAGAAGCGCCGCTGCTACCATTCTCCCTTCTTCATTTAAGATGTTGTATGTAGATGCTGCATTTCTCTGCCAAAGGACGAGAAAGGACTTAGTGCATAGTACGACAGAAAGCATAGTTTCTGTATTACACAATAAACAGAGATGTAATGTAACAGTCATCCCTGATCCAAATTCAAAAGTAGTAAATTTTCTTTTGACCTAATTATAGCTGAAGAAGAATTAAACGATTATCATAAACAAGAAAGTATATGATTGTTACCGAGTCGACTGCTTCCAGTTTCATGCCTGTAGAGCGAATAAAGCGGCGAAGTTCGGGACTTATTAGCTCAATATTCTTCCCACAGCCAATAATCAAAATTTCTGCAATAAGAAATCAGAAAATACGAGGACTTAGAAAATCAGAAGGAAGATTACCATCCACAAAATGAACAAAAGGAAACAAACAAGACGGTAGAAACTAAACAAAGCAGCAGTAACCACAAACCTGGAACTTAAACTTGAAAAGAAAACCAGTATAGTCACAGAAAAACTGCAATTCATATGTCAGTCGAAGTTGAGTCTTCTACTAGCTAGGGTCTCAGGATTAACTGGTATTTCAGTTGCATAAAGTTGCCCTCTTCCATTCATGGCTGAGGGATAATTAGAGAAAATATCCGCATTAAGTATTATGCAGCCTCAGCCCCGTAATATGGAGGCTGTTCCCCATGACCACCCACGTGAAAACAGAATGACACATTCTAATGTAACAATGGAATTGAGACCGGTGTTCATAGAAAATATTCTAACCAAGCAATTGTAGACTGACAAAATTGTTAACAACTGTCAACAGCAGTAAGAAACTTGAATAGTTATTCCATAAAAAAATTACAGATGTCAATTGGACCATTGCTGAAACACCTCAGCTATAGAACTTTCACATGTTTTGCTAAGTAGCCATGTCTTCCCTATAATATCATGAACAACTTTTACTACTGAATTTATACTTACTCTGAAATCATTAAAATCAATATTGCAAGTCTTAACTGTCATATTTTAGTCATGAGTTGCCATTTTTCTAATAGATCAAAAAGCACTTACTCTACTGTTCGGTAAATAGGTTATTTGATGAGCGCTTCTGATAATTCTACAGTGAAGTCTTAAACTCAAAAGTGCAAATCTATGAACCGCTGTATCCTATTTGGGAGTTACCATTTTTCTCATAGATCAAAACTCAGTTACTCTACTGTTTAAATAATAGCTTATTTGATGAAAGGTTCTGAAAATGCTACAGTGATGTAGGGTGCAAGTTAGCAAGCTTTCTGTGAATGTGGCATTTCTTCTCGAATATGATTTCCCATGTTTAATTCACTCACAACTAATGAAAACAGTTATAATGATAATATTCCAATTTTAGAGAAGGGAATGAACTTGACACATGTATTGTAATGGTCATTTTGTTTAACTGGTCTATGCAGTGACCATTACACTACAGTTGACCATTAAATAACTACCATCATTTCATTCTGCTGCAGTCAATGTTTGTTAAGACTTGGGACAATATCTCCATTGATAGATTTATATT